AAACAATATTTTCCTCTTGCCTCTGGGGTTCTACAAAATGACACTTATTTAGACGACTTAGCTACTGGATCTGATTCCTTGGAAAGCACGAAATCACTACAAACCGAAGTTATTTCTCTCTTGAATAAAGCTGGGTTTATTCTCAGAAAATGGTCTGCAAATCATCCTGCACTCTTGGAGGATTTCGCGCCAGCAGACTGTCAACAAGATATTTTCTCTTTCGATTCTCAAGATTCTGTGATAAAAATATTAGGTTTGAAGTGGTTTCCTTCGAAAGATCATTTTGGATACTCTATTTCTTTGCCTGACAACCCTTGTACAAAACGAGGGATGTTATCAGATATAGCAAGGATATTTGACCCGATTGGGTTTTTATCTCCAATAACATTCATGGTTAAACATCTCATCCAGTATCTTTGGTGTTTGGGATTAGACTGGGATGAAACTCCTCCCCCTGAAGTCATAGAGAAGTGGTCTAAATATAAATCAGAACTATCTTATATTTCCAAAATACAAATTCCTCGTCATCTAACCCCATTTATTTATAATTCATGCGAGCTGCACGGATTTGCAGACAGCTCAGAAAAAGGATACGCAGCTGTTGTATTTATTCGCTTTATTCTCCCTCATAATAAGTTTGAAGTTCGATTGGTGTGTGGTAAATCTAAAGTTGCCCCGTTGAAAAAGATCAGCCTGCCCAAGTTAGAGCTCTGCGCAGCTGTTCTTCTCTCGAAGCTGATGAGCTTCATTATTCAATCATACTCTAATAAAATAACTTTTTCCCATTTATATGCGTGGAGTGATTCAATGATCACTTTGTGCTGGATCAAAGCTCCAGCCTATCGTTGGAACACTTTCATAGCCAACAGGGTGAGTCAGATCCATGAGAGGGTCCCCCCTTCATGCTGGTATCATGTCGGTTCTCAGGATAATCCAGCCGATTGTGCCTCTCGGGGGTTACTACCCTCGCAGATGATCGGTCACTCTCTTTGGTTTCAGGGACCAACTTGGCTCAGCCAATCTAACGAATATTGGCCTAAAACTCCGATAACTACTCCTTTAGAAGCCTTAAATGAAGAAAAAGGTATATCTCTTATTACCCAAATATCTCTAGATTCTCTCGATGACCTGATAATCAGATTCTCTTCTTTAAATAAAATCAGGAGAGTTGTTGCTTGGTGTCTTCGATTCCTCAACAATCTTAGGGTTCAACCCCCTCTACGTAAAAAATGTCCTCTAACTGATTCGGAAGAACATAATGCATTATTACTTCTAGTGAAACGTGTTCAGCATGTTTCATTTTCTAACGAAATTTCTCGACTAGAAGAAAACCTCCCTCTTCCGAAAAATTTCCGGAAATTGAATCCTTTCCTTGGAAATGATGAAGTTTTGCGAGTAGGAGGTCGTCTTTATTTTTCAGGTCTTTCCTATGACCACAAACATCCTGCCATTCTACCAAACTCTCATCGATTAACCGATCTGATTATCGAAAAGTATCATATTGACTTTATGCATCCAGGCTTACGTACTTTACAATATATGTTAGCCCAAAACTTCTGGATTCTATCCCCTCGTCGTGCTATATCACGAATTCTCTCAAAATGCATCCGCTGTTATAAAATCAAGCCGACTCCCCTCGAGCCCCCCATGGGCAATTTGCCTCATTTCCGCATTAATCAACTGAAACCTTTTCAATGTGTAGGGGTTGATTACGGTGGTCCGTTCAATATCGCCATGTCGAAAGGTCGAGGTATCAAGTCACAGAAGGCTTATATTTGCCTATTCGTGTGTTTCACCACCAAAGCTGTGCATCTAGAACTTGCCTCTGACCTTTCAACAGATGCTTTTCTTGCTGCCCTCAGACGACTTATTAGTCGAAGAGGCCGTTGCACCCGTATCTTCAGCGATAATGGCGGAAACTTCGTCGGCGCCAGTCGCACCTTAGATGACCTCATGAAACATGCCTCAGAACAGGAAAAAATTGAATGGTCATTCAGTGCACCCAGTTCACCCCATTTCAATGGTCTGAGTGAAGCGGGCATCAAGTCAGTGAAGACTCACCTCTTGAAAGTGCTTGACAGTCACGTCCTCACCTATGAGGAATTTTACACGGTCCTAGTGCAGGTTGAGGCTATATTGAACTCTCGTCCCCTTTATGCAATGAGTAATGATCCTAATGACCTCAATGTCCTCACTCCCGGACATTTCCTCACCCTAGAACCTGTAGCATGTTTACCAGATTTTGACCTCACTACCCTGAACATAAACCGTCTCGATCGCTGGCAATTTTTGCAAAGGGTTCACCAGGATATATGGAAGCGATGGCATGCAGAATATCTGCATACTTTGCAACAAAGGTCCAAGTGGCTTCATGACTCCGAACCATTAAAAGTAGGTGATTTAGCGCTCATTAAAAATGAATTGACACCTCCACTCCAATGGCGATTGGGAAGAATAACAAAATTACACCCTGGTGTAGATGGCATCACTAGAGTGGTGACATTGCGTACTGCGCAAGGTATCTTGCAGAGGCCCTGTGTCAAGCTTTGTCCCTTGCCATCAAATAACTCGTGAAAATACGGTGTATTTTGGCGGGCAGAATGTTCGCGCACCGAAATTTAGGTTAAGTTTAGATTTAGTTTCATAATCAACATTTATATTCATGAATCAATTGCATCGCTTATATTAAAACAAGTTTCTCCATATCTTCAAATATTCATTAAATTCTAATAACGGCGCATTACTTATGTCGCCGAATTTACTACAAAACTGTCCAGAATAGGAAATCTCGGTCTCACCGCGAAGAGCGAAAAAGAAGAACGAGAAAACACTGCGATTCGATATTCGGTATTGGTACGATCGTGACCGCGCCGGACCGCAATTCTTCAAATAATATAATTACTCAAAAAAACCCTCAAAATACCTCAAAATAAGCGCGAGTGATCCTTCCTCTACAGAAAAGCATACAGTCCACTTTCCACCCTATGAACGGGTAATGAAGGCCGGCCTTAAGCAGAGGACCTGGAAATCGACAGGAATATACCAGGTGAGAATTTGATTATCCTTAACTGGACGGCTGACATTATACTTCGTTCAAACACAGACATCAACCACTTTCACTCTTGCTAGATATCTTGGGGATCACTATTTTCGATTTAGACTCATCATATTTGATACATGTTACTGTATTCCTTACAGTCATTATTTCTGTAGTCGATTGTTGTATATACATTTTATACATCAGTACATGCCCAGCGTGTTTATAAAATCAGTAGTATTCGTACCACGCACCTCGGGGGTAGTTTAGTGGAGTCAACTCAGGGAACGTTACATTTTGTTGAAATTTGTAAATCACTTGGCTCCTATTACTTTAATTCTGTATCAGCTTGGTTATATATTGTATTATCAGTTCAGTTCGACCTGAAAATTAAAATACCTACAGGGCGAAGGTTACACAGAAACATTTTGAAATGAGTGGAATCATCCATAACATCCATTCAAAATTCAAATTAGTAGAATACGGCGTTCCACAAGGTACAGTACTTGGGCCAATTCTTTTCAATGTATATCTCAACAACTTATTCAACGTTAAAACACAAGGAATGATAGTGAGTTTCGCGGATGACACAGCGATTTTTTATGAATCAGAATACTGGGATTCTCTAATCTCAAAAGCACAAACGGACTTCAAAAACATTAGTGACTGGTTCGATTCTAAACTGCTAACGATTAACTACCTCAAAACAAAATATTTAGCTTTTGGTATCAATAAAAATAATCTAACCAATCTTCAACCCCTTAAAATTGTCTGTGATAGTGATATTAGGGAAATACCGTTGGAGGACGAAATCAAATATCTCGGCATAATCATTGACACGCACCTGAAATGGGACAAACATGTGAAAAAACTGGTGCAGAAAATAAGGAGTATATTATCTAAATTCAAATACATGAAAAAAATCCTACCAGAAAAACATCTTTCGACTCTTTACCATGCTTTAGTAGAATCTCAACTGAGGTATGGTATAATTGCATGGGGAGGAGCTTATAACAATGTTATGAAAAACGTTGAAACTATCCAAAAATGGATATTGAAAATAATATATGACAAGCCTATAATATTTCCGACAGACGAACTATTCAAACTCAGTAACGTTCTGGATGTGAGACAACTATTCTTCTCAACTTTGGCAGTTGAACAGAAGAAAAACAAAACAAAAAAATATACTGAGTATCCCTACTCTATACGATCCAAACAGGACTCTGTTATAGTGCCATCTGTAAACAAAACCATAACCCAACGATCCTCTATGTTTCTTGGACCAAAAATACACAACGACATACCAACTGAACTGAATGAACTGAATTCCATACATCTTTTCAAAAAGAAATTAAAAATTTGGCTTCTTTCAAGATCGCGGACTTTAGCACATCAGTCGATCGATTTAAAAAACATTTATTATCACCGAACAAGTTGAAGTATTTTCATTATCAAAGTTTGAATCCTGCCTTATTCTGTTTTATTTTAACTTTAGTAATAGTTATGCGTTAGTTAAGAAGTGTGTAAAAGTAGTTATTTAAGTAGTAGTATTTTTTTCCATTTTCTCATCACCATTTACTTACGTCCGTGGGATACAAACACAGTTCCACTATTTATTTACTTCAGGAATGATTGGCGGAGTTGTTGGTTCAACACAAGTTATACTTTTCTGAACTGATCAACTTTCTCTAATCTCCCTCCTTACGAACCTCACGGAGTAGGTATTAACTGGTGAAATGTAAAATGTCAACCCTCCTTTGGGAACAACTCTTGTTTATTCTATGTAGTTCTGTATGTATTTATTGTATTATATGTAACAATCCATTTTGTAAACTATATAATTATTTTTCTATAATGTAATACCAATGAATGAGTAGGAATGAACTATATGAATAGACGTTATTATTATTATTATTATTATTATTATCCATAACATCAACCATGAACTCGTCTGATTTACCTGTGCAGCTCGTACTCCAAGAAGGGCAGACCGTCCGATATCTCTTTGGCTATCCATTCGCCCTTCACGTCTTTGAGAGGGCGGCACACGTAGGACTCGATGAAGCACCCCCGGCCGGTCGTCGGTAGACCTTCGGGCGGTTCTATCGTGGCTATTAGGACTTCTGGTACCCTTCCTTTCCTACAAAGTGTTACTAATGATGCGGCCGAGCTTGCCATCGGAATCAGAAGGATTTGATTCACTAATAGTGAGTGACGAAAGTAACATTTTTTGAAGCGAGAGAACAGTTGGTAATGTTCAGTAGGGTCGCTGACGCTCGCTGCATAATTTTAGATACCAAATATATGAGTAGATAACCATATTGACATATAGAGATGGGTACTAATACTGCTAATAATGATAGTTCACCACAGAACGCATAGTTACAAATGGATTTCATCAAATGATTGTGGTGTATTATATATATGTTACCGGACAAACCCGATTTTAAAATAAACTAGCTTTTCCTAGGCTAAATCAGTATATCCAGAGAGCGATAGGATGAACTAGTTTGTTAATATTTTGTGAGAAACGAACATAGTAGATCATTCGGAAATGTAGTCATTGAATTTTTTATCAATTAGCTTGACTCCTTCCCGAATGATTTACTCATAGAGGTGTATGTTCCTTCCTCACAAAATATTAACAAAGTAGTACGAAGTAGTTTAGACTAGGACAAACTAGTTCATCCTATCGCTCTTCGGATATACTGATTTATTAGCCTAGGAAAAACTAGTTTACCCTAAAATCGGGTTTGTCCGGTAACCTTTTTTCATTCCGTCTGTTACAGGTTATTCTGAGATGTCATTTCGAAGTAAAAATAGCGTCTTGTGTGTGTGACAGTTTGACGTCATTATAGCGTCTCTCAGGTGTCAGTTTAGGACGCCCGCTTCGTTATTTTATGATTAAAAAATGACGTCAATTGGACGTCACTCTGCTTCATGAAGCGAAAAAAAGTTTGTAAGATAATCAAATCCTGCTCATTTTTCAAAATTTAGATGAAGCTATTCCATATGTGTTGAACAATCATTCCATGCCACTCATTAAAACTGAAATAAGTCAATCGTTTCTGAATTAACTGTTCATCACTATTCAAGATTCAAAATCACCGAATCCCTCTCAGTCACCATCGAAGCAAAAAAAAGTTTCTTAGTGTATCAAATTCTGCTGATTTTTCTGTTCAGTCTTGGATCTCAATTGTAGTGTAAGTGCTCTTTCCAAAATTCAGAGGAAGCTATTCTATTAGTGCTGATCAATCATTCCATACCACATAGAGAAACTGATATCAGTCAATCTTCTTGGAAACGACAAAAAAAAATGTCTACAACCCTTTACGAAAAGACGTCATTTTGTAATAAAATACCTTCAGCGAAAACCTGATTTTCGTTGCAAGTGACAGAAATTCTCATAACGTTTCTCGTTCCTAGTGACGAACGGTGAATAAGTGACCTTCTGTTACCTGTCAACAGAGATAAAATGTCAAACTTCTTTTCCCTCACAGAAAAGTTATTTATACACCAAGGTAGTAAAGAATATAATTATTACCCAAGGATCAAAATTATATCCCGTGGTAATGTTCTTTAATACCAAGGTGTATGTTAAATATTTTACACCACTAGCAATTCCTTTCAATAATTATAGTTCTGAACTGAAATATGGACCTATTGTCACTGTGAAAGCAATTCTGTTCAATTCTAATTGAGATCTTGTCAGTATTTCATAAAATGACGAAAACTACCTTGAAAGTAAAAACACACTTCACGCCCCGGAAAGGAGTAAATAATGGTAGGTTCTACAGCTAGTGGTGGAAAAAATATTATTATGATATAAACGGCGCTGTAGAAGAAGAATAGTGGTTCCCTCTTCCAAAACATTTTTTGAAGCTCCTCCATCTTAACAGGGTACGGACCGATCATAGCTGCATTCTTTTTCAATGATCTAGAGACTTTAGTTTTGCCTACTGCCATCCCTGACATTGCTGTCACGTCACGTCCATGGGCGCTACAGAAAATCATTCGAAATTTTAATAATAGGTTTGTACAGGGTATATACTTGTTGAGAAAGATCATATGGGGATCGGGTTTTGTAATTAAGATCCGATTCTACTCAAAATTGGTATCTGGGGGTTTTCGGGGTAGGAGATAATGATTGTTTTGTGAAAATTGTGAAATTCAGGATGACGGATCGAATATGGCGGAAGACATTTCTAATTATGATCTGATTCTATTAAAGTTTGGTATCTGGGGGTTTTCGGGGTCGAAGTTCATGATTTTTTGTCAAAATTGGGATATTCAAGATGGCGGATCCAATATGGCGAACGAGCTTTGTAATAAATAGTTGTTTGAGAAATCAATTGAACACGTGTTCGTAGATAATCAGTCGAATTGAGAAGTTGAACATACCCAAATAACACGGGATATTCCTGGTATATCCCGCCATGGTCCTACAAATGTCCCAATGTTCCAGACATAGGTACTATACCCCAGAGATGTTCCTTCTGAGACATCCATCCGATGTTTTATCCCATTTCATCTTTTTCTATGAACAAATAATGTACATACTCAATGGCTTAGTATACCTATACTGCTCATGATGATTGACATGATTGAACAGTTCAAACAATTGTGACATTTGAAATATTGAAAGGTATGCAAATCAAAATTGTACTCGTACTCACATACTTACCTCGTACCACAGCTGGCTAATTCGATCGATATCAAATCGAAATATTTATACTGAATATTTATAATAAGGTTACCAGGTATAAGTATCTCATACTTATCAACTTCATTGAACCATATAATAGAAGACAAAATTAAAATATATCTCTTTAGCGTATTTCTGGCTGAATCTATTTGTTAACAGTCGATAGATGGCGGTAAATTCACGTTGCTACAACTTGCTCACAGCCGTCGGCCCAGCTCAAATAATTGTTATCATCGTCCATTAGTCATTGGACCGCACTGAGCTAATATGTTCAGAATTCCAGATTAAAAATAATTCATTCGATGTTATATCTTGTCATCCATCACTGTCGACAAACAAAAAACACCCTCAGTTTCTTGAATATGTTTCATGTCAAGTACCCTGAATGTCTCTGATACATTCCGTGTCATCCCACAAACGTTCTGATGGGATGTTCATATGACATCGCAAATGCTGACACGGTTGTTGCCAGCAACATTCCAAGAATGTCCCAGGGAAAATAGGAATTCTCCAGAGATGTTCCTATTATCCCATATGAATGTTTCAAAGACGTCTAACGGATGTGATTGTGTTATTAGGGTAAATAATAGTTTAAAAAACTGAAGAGATAAATTGCCGAGCTGAAGGGACTTTAGTAATCAAATATCTGTCAGTCTAATACTGTGATTTGATTTTGAAAAAATGCGAACTTAGTGGTCGTTTATTAGTTATTTATGTAACCGCGAAGTGAAATGGAAGATAAATTGACTTGCAGTTCTTTCACTTCATTCTCGGAGACCATGTTATTGGCTCAAAGAAGATCCGGCAACTATTGCCTCCAAGTTCAATGATTTTTTCGTCAAGGCTCCTATCGAATTGGTTAAACAAATACCTCCAAGTAATAATGGGGTATTTGATAATGAAAAGGATTTCAACCCTTACACAATGTTTTTGAACCCATTTACGGAACATGAATTACTCTCATTGTTAAAAAACAAACTAAATAATAAAACATCGTCTGGTCCAGATGACATACCGATGTTTATATTGAAACGAGTTCTTCCTTTGATAATATTACCATCAACACATCTGATAAATACGTCATTTGTGAGAGGTGATTTTCCACACAAGTTAAAAACTGGTAAAGTCACTCCTATTTTCAAAAAGAAAGACACAACCCTTGTGGAAAATTATCGTCCTGTAACAGTCCCTTGTGGACTCTCGAAAGTTTTCGAATATGCTTTTTTGGAACGTCTCAATTCGTTTCTTGATAATAATTTTGTCTTGAGCAATAGGCAGCATGGATTTCGTTCTGAAAAATCTACGAACACAGCTATGTTCTCATTACTGAACAAAATCATAGAATACGTTGATTCAGGTGAATGTCCAGCGGTAATTCTTTGTGATCTTAGTCGAGCTTTCGACTTTGTCAAACATCAAAAACTGAGGTCGAAATTAGAAATGTATAGAATAAGAGGCGTATGTATTAGTTGGTTCTCGTTATTTCTTCACAATCGAAAGCAATTTGTTTCCTTACAAGTAAAGTGTTTTGGCTGATTCAAGATTCAGAATTTTGACTACCCTGTATCTGTTTCGATTGAATATCAGTAAATAGTAAATGAAAAGTTGAGATAGGGAAATGTGAGCTGTTTTGGTCGATAATGAATAGTTTCGGCACAAACATATCCTGAAGTTGAAAAATCTCGATTTTGAACACCCTATATCTCTGTAATCATTTTTGATAGACCCCAAGTTTGATGTATTGATGAAATCAGCTCTCCAGGAAGAATCTAAAAATGCAATGAAATACAGGGTATTCTATTTGATATAACAAAGTTGTTGCTACTTTTTGATTGAAGCGGCAACACTGCATTGCTGAAATTATTTTAAATGAAGAGAGCGCGTATTTTAAAATATATGCATGTATATTTTCATGTATTTCTCCTGACTGATTCTCGATATAGAGAGAGTGTCAGCTTGTCGTGACATATACCCTGTATGTTTCGTACCGTTTTTTGTATTTTTTCCGATCGAGGAATACTCTCTTCTGATTTTCGTGCTTTCTGTTCGGAACTGTATTTTTTCCGATCAAGAAATGCTTTCTTCTGATTTTCGTGCTTTCTGTTCGAAACTGTATTTTTTAAGAATCCACCATCTTTAATAACTGTGATACAGAACGTAATCTCGATTTTGGCAAAATCTTCATCTATGGTCAGGTCATAACTTTTGAACCACATTGTATAATCGAATCATACTTGGTAGGTATATTCAACTCATATCACTCATCAAAACTAAATAGGAATCGAATTTAGAATCCAGATCCGTCTTCAGGCAAAACAGAAAACTTCTTCTTTCTCAATAACAACACTCTATATTAGAATTTTGTAGATATGTTCTGATATCTGCAAGGAGCAGGAAAAATCCATGAATTGGTCTACTTTTTAACTCGTAATTCT